TAAAATTTATTTAATTTATTAATATTTTTTTTATTAATTTATTTTTTATAAATCTAATCCATAAACTTTGCTTGTATAACAGATTATGCATAGTCTAATACTAATTTAAAAGTCTATCATAGCATATATATAAGGTAAGATTATTAACTATGATGATACAAAAATTATTACTATAATAATACAAAAATTATTTTTAAAATAAAAATAAGTTCTTTGTCTATGTATTTAGAGGAATTTGATAATGACTAATATAATGACTATGATAATGACTATGATAATGACTAAAATAACGACTACAATAACAACTATGATAACAACTATAATAATAACTATGATAATGACTATGATAATGATAACGATAATGATCATAATGATGATCATAATAATGATAATATTAATGTTAGTACTATTAGCAAGTGAAGTAATGTTAATAAGGTGTGGGATTTTTTTAAAAAACATGAATGGAAAAAAGAACAAAAAACAGCCAAATGTATAGTATCAAAGTGTCAATACAAGGAGTTTTCTTGTGGGAAGAAAGGAACAACCAAACTCTTGTAGCACTATTTGGAGAGTTTTCACTAGATGCAGTATGCCAAAATAGCAGAATATCGAAAAAAAAAACACAAGATAAATGTGATAACATTGAGGAAGCATTCAGAAGGATAAGTTTAGGTTTCTAGAAATATCAGATATGATACTATTAAACATAGTGCCTGTGCCTAGCACAGGCATTATGTTTAATAGTATCATAGCTCAAAACTTTCAGAACTATAATAATTTAAATTTCTTACTTAATTCTCAAATATAAACTAATTTTAAAATTTTATTTTAGAATTCACAAGAAACCTCCACTATGTTATTCACTGATATTGTTAATGTGAAACTTCATGATATATTTGCCATCTGAATTATTAACTGTCAATGCCTATTTACAATAATCAAAGACCCTGAGTTGATAGAAATTATACAATATTTGAACCTAACTGCGCAGTTAGTTAAAGCTGATGCAATTAAGAATACAATTATATCACTTTATAGTTTAGGTAAATAGGAATTAAAAGCAAGATTTCATGTTATTTTATAATATATTATAGATGAATTTGGGTTCTAAGATTCAGAATTCACTTAAGTGGATTCAGAATTTATTTAATTGATAATTCGGCTATAATCAGCACTAATTTGTATATATAATTTGGGGTAAAAATTTACTGATTTACTATGATATTATCCAAAATACATAAAGTCATGAGTTTTACAAATCTCGCACAAATTAATAATTCTGCATGATATAAAAAAAAACTTATGCAAAAATAGTTATAAATATATATATATTAAAAAAAAATTCGTATTAGTTTAACAGAAAAAGAGTGTTATTATATACGAATGTCAGATTCCAACCACTTTATTATATATAAATGTTGAATTTCAATATGTGACATGTATAAAGTAAGTAATAAGAAAAAAATTATTTCAATATACCAGAGGTCTCAGGTACCTCTAAAGAAAGTCTTGCCATATTTTGCTTCTACTTACAACTAAATGTTGCAATCCAATTATTAATAGTAGATACTTTTGGGATATCATTTTGGTCAAATTTACCACGTTGAGCCCGTTTTAATAATTCATCATACATTTCCTCATCCGATATCTTGTTATTACTATTTACGGTTTCTGCGTGAAATATATTTTCTAATAAACTCCTAATTTGTTTAGTTATTTATTTCCAAGGTTCTTTCTGATTATTTTTTTCATTTTCAGCTAAGGCCTAACCTAACAAATACCTGTTATGACTGAATTGAAAGTAAATATATAGTCTATTTATTATGTAAAACATTCATTTAATACTATACATAAATATTATATTTTTGATGTAGAGCAGATATCTGTTTGTATCAGGTTGTTTGTATTTAGTGTATGCGTTTCCTGGAATTTTAACATTATTAAAATTTGTCTTTTAATTATAGAACATAATATTTTCTGTTGAGAATAAGTATTTTCAGCTTTACTGATTTACTGGAACTAAAAATTTTGCCATAAACCAAGGTAATTTCTAAAATCTTTTTTTTTTCATTTTGACATATCACATAACGATTAACCTTATATAATTGAGGTTTCACACAAATACCATCTAATTTGAGTTTGACAAAACTTCATTACAGCACATTTGATTACCAAATCCAATTTTAGTTACCAAATTGCATACGTACTAATCAATCGATGCTAAACGCTTTCTCTATCTAACCTATTTGTCTCACCTTATTAGACATAGAAATTTAAATAGTAATGCGTGAAAATAGTGATTAGCACA